AGTTGCGGACATTTCCGACTGGTGCACCTAGAGTCTGGAGGTGGCAATTCTTATCTGGCTATACATGTGTAGTGTGTAGTATTCCGTGAGGGAGAGACGTAGGTGTGTAAAGATGACTGTGATTGGTTTATATAATTTTACGATTATCTATAACAGGAGGGAAATCTGTCTGAGTATATTATATACGATTGCCATAACCATTTGAATTGCAAAATATAAAATCATTAACGATTGTCATATTTAAAATTCGTGTAATGAATAAAACATTAATTTTTAATTTCGTTATTTCAGTGTGTTATCTAATTTCACTGGAATTTAATTGCTGATTTTACTGTTCATTTCGAGGCGTCCTCTGCTTTTCAGAACTCAGGTCGGCACTGCAAAGTTTCCACTAATTCATTTGTTGTATTTCTTATAACTGAAAAAAATATTCGAACCGTCCAAATAGTCATTTCAAGCGAAATGTAGATATATATGTTTGAATTTGTTTGGCATAATATTTATTATACATTCTTAAGAGAAATATATCAATACAGAAATACAAGTTTTGAGGAGTTTGAGAAGCTACATGCTCTTCCTTTCTTAAATCGTAAACCAGTCTGTTAAGCTATAGTTGCCTGTTAGGAACCTTCAATGACACATCTTGTTGTTAGGACGTTCCTTCTCTATATGCATTTTGAACTACGAGAGAGAGAAGAGAAAACTAGAGAAGATTAGAGAGAGGAAGAGCATTAGAGAAAGGGAGAGGGAGAGAGAGAAGGGAGAGAGAGAGAGAGAAGAGAGAGAGAGAGAAGAGAGAGAGAGAGAGAGAGGGGAGAGAGAGAGAGAGAGAAGGGGAGAGAGAGAGAGAGAGAGAGAAGAGAGAGAGAGAGAGAGAAGGGGAGAGAGAGAGAGAGAGAAGGGGAGAGAGAGAGAGAGAGAGAGAGAGAGAGAGAGGAGAGAGAGAGAGAGGAGAGAGAGAGAGAGAGAGAGAGAGAGAGAGAGAGAGAGAGAGAGAGAGAGAGAGAGAGAGAGAGAGAGAGAGAGAGAGAGAGAGAGAGAGAGAGAGAGAGGGAGAGAGAGAGAGGGAGAGGGAGGGAGAGAGGAGAGAGAGAGAGAGAGAGAGAGAGAGAGAGAGAGAAGAGAGAGAGAGAGAAGAGAGAGAGAGAGAGAGAAGAGAGAGAGAGAGAGAGGAGAGAGGGAGGAGGGAGGGGGAGGTGAGAAAGAGGTGTGAGAGAGAAATGTAAAAGAAGTGAAGTGAGAAGTAAGGAATAAGGAGTGAAAGAGAGAGAGAGTGTGTGTGTGTGTGTGTGTGTGTGTTGTGTTATACGCGAGCATGACATTTTATGTTTTTGTGTTTCTGACCTAATATTCTTTGCAAATCTTGATATTAGAGGGATCGCTCCATGTGACTCGAGTGTGCATAAACAACTCATCAAGCTATTGAGTCAATTGCCATTCATAAATTCCACAAGGAAGCCGCAGTAAGACAATAAATCAGGCTTAAAACTGTAAGATTTACATTCAAAAATAATATAACATGTCATTCGTATTTCAATTTCTTAAAATTATGTGTTTTACATTTGTAACGTAAACGAAAACTCCTACATACATATATCTTTACAAGCGCATTTTTATTTTAAAATATTTTGAGATTATATATTGTTTGATGTTTGTCTGTTTTTTTTTTTTATACCATTTCCGTTCTTTTAAAAAACACCACATATTCCAAGCAATAATATTGGTATTCGGCAAAACTTTGTAATGCTTCCAAACCTTTTAACATAATTCTAATAGCTGATATTAGTAGCCAGTGAATATATTTGCGAAATACCAGGCGCCAATTACAGACTTCCATACAAACAAGAGCATTCCATTCACAAAATACTGGATACTACGCATGTATTACCAGAAACAAATCAGTCCACGCACCATAGGGGTGTACCAGTTGCATATGCCCGCGCCTTTACATGTTTGTTTATTTCCCATCGTAGATTTTTTTTTCTTAGCATATTTGCCTTTGACCACTCAGGCTGTTACATCACGGTTAATACTTATGAAAGAACGGACCTACCGACTAGGGCAAGCTTGATGTAGGCCTACCAGGATATTTAGATAAACGAATCCGTCCTTAAAACTCGGAGGTACCAGTAGTTTTAGCTCCTTTGTGAACTGAAATTTTCGCTTTCTCGGTGCGTGCGCCAGTGTCGAAACGGCTGAGGTTAGGTACGCTTGTCAAGGAAAAGCATCCTCCATTTTCTGTATATACGAATATGGCACGTTCTGGTGTGTTTGTTGATTTTAAGAGCATGTACAAGGCTGTCATATCGATTTCGTTATGAGTATATCCAAAAGCAACATTTCAAATTTATGCAGTTTTTAAAGAAAACATTGCTGCACTTGTGTAAACAAGTTGCACTGCAACAGCCACTGCTTATAGCAAACTGTAACATATAATGGTGTTATACCATATGAAGCGCGGAAAAATATTAAACGAGCGCACAGATATGCATATGTATATATTTATGTATATGCATATTTATATACATATGTATACATATATATATATGTGTATGTGTATATATATGTATATATATGTGTATATATATGTATATGTGTATATATATGTATATATACATATGTATATAAGGTAATTTTCTACATTACGTCCGCATAACCGATATCGACGATTTTTGTATTGTTGGATTCCTCTCACTCTATACAATGCAAATATGTAGGTTATATTGCGCGGAAACCCCCCGTTAGCGACAAACTTGCTTCCGATAGCGGGGCGACGATGTCGGAGCGGCGGACGTAATATATAAAATTACCCTAATAATATAACCTCACAGTGAAAATAATCATGGTTATTCACGACTTTTCCATTGCAGGGGACTGCGCCCCCTGCGCCCCCCCTGGGGGGCTTCAGCCCCCCAACCCCCGCCGAGGAAACAAAACCTCCACCACGTATTCACGGCAGGATAGAGCGACACGAACTAGATGCGGAGCCGATAACCTACAATAACCTAGGATTTTTAATGTACTAACTTGATTGATTAATGCCGCTAATTAGTAGGGAGGGTGCTCCTTTGTCGCAGAATGTGAAGGAGGTCGGAGGATACAGCGACGCTGCAGTACACAGGAAGTGGTGCAACCTCACATTCAGGTCCTGGTAGTGCTGGCTGCCCGCACCTGCCGCAGGCTTTCTCCCGACGGAGGAGGCCGTGGCAGAAGCACATCTCTAGCATTTTTTCCTGGCTAGTTGCAATTTCGCGCAGAAAATCCGACTCCGAATACGAGCACCCTCCACACTCGGCCATCGCGGCGGCTGACTGACTTCTGAACGCGACGGTTATTTCGGTTAGGAATACGGATGTCGTTATTCCAAAGGGAAAATCGACCTTGAGGCCATCGGTGTAACATCGAAGGAGGCGCAAAACCCGCCGACGAGGGCGGGCCACCCTGCTCATCCTGATTATACTACAATCGTCTCTCTATACAATGCTGACTATGCCAAGGTTAATATGCTGATTCAGTGGGAATGTTACAAGGTAATTGAAATATTACGCCCGCCGCTCCGACATCGACGATGATTGTGTAACGCTCTAGCCTGCCGGGAATACGGGGTGGAGATTTTGTTTCCTTGGCGGGGGGGGGGGGGCAGCCCCCCCCACGGGGGGTCGCAGGGGCACAGCCCCTGCAATGGAAAGTTATGTGAGTAACCGTGTTTATTTTCACTGTGCGTTATATTATGTGCTATTTAACCCCGCATTTTCCCTGGATCTATATATATCACTACATAAATGTTTTTATTAATATTATCACCAATATGATCATATTATTATACTGAAATCGCTTATTATCAAAATCATCCCAACACGTAAAGGCACATGCATATAAAGAAAAAAAATTAATTTGCAAAAGATGGCATCACGTATTGGAAAAGACGAGTACTTTGTGAGAAAAAAAAATCTGTTTAAAGAAAAGAAGAAAAATAAATGAATAGACAGTGTTGAGTGCACATTAGTCTGGATGTTTTTGACGAGTATACATTGAAATGTGCATTAGAAAATATCTTAAACAAAACCTTCTACATTTTAATTATTTTGGCGAACACAAGATCTTGGCAAAAAATCCCTATTATTGTGCGTTGGCGTTGGCGTTTGAAGTGTAAAATACCCACGGTTTTATTATTATTATTATTATTGTGTGTGTGTATGTGTGTGTGTGTGTGTGTGTGTGTGTGTGTGTGTGGTGTGTGGTGTGTGTGTGTGGTGTGTGTGTGTGTGTGTGTGTGTGTGTGTGTGTGCGTGTGTGTGTGCGTGTATGTGTGTGTGCGTGTGTGTGTGTTTGTGTGTGTGTGTGTGCGTACGTGTGTGTGTGTTTTTACACAGTCACAGGAAGAACAGGATTTTTCGCCAATATCTTGAGTGTTCACCAAATATAACAAAACGTGCAACTTTTTGTAGATGGTTTTAAATGCACATTCCAAATGTACGCTCGTTAGTAAATATCCAAACTAGTGTGTAATCAGTACTGTTTAAACGGATTATTTAAACGGATTAGTTTTTGTTCATAAAAAGTACTTGTCGCCTTTTCCATTATCTCTAATATATTTATATTATATATATATATATATATATATATATATATATATATATATATATATATTATATAGAGAGAGAGAGAGAGAAGAGAGAGAGAGAGAGAGAGAGAGGTTAGTTTTATATTTGCATGCGTATACGTCAATTATACCAAATTCAATATAATACATAATGTTAATGATGATATTAAAAAATTTATGTAAAGATGATGAAGACAGTGATACAGATACTGATGATGATAATAATAACGATGATGATGATGATAATAATAATAATAATAATAATAATAATAATAATAATAATAATAATAATAATAATAATAATAATAATAATGATGATGATGATGATGAGAAGAAATCGAAAAAAGAAAAAGAATAAGAATAATAAGAATACGAATAACAATAACATAAGGCCTACATGACTGAGCAGAGTTATTCATCGCGTGGGTGCGCTGATATTCCTCTACCCAAGGCGTTTGTTTACAAGATCCCAGGGTGAGGTAATGCCTGAAACATTTCCCTGTAAATTTGTTCTTTGGCGGTTTTCAATTGAATGAGCCTTTAGAGGAGACTAAAACTTGGCATTTTACTCTTCATCCCGCGTTCTCAGGGTCTAGAAGTATCCGGCAGCCGAAAGTTTTAAATCCGTTCTTTTTTCGTCTGTCATCGGGCGCTTTCAACTGGCGGACAATCGCTGTTTTGACGGCGAGGAGGAACCGACCACGCTGCCTGAGGCAAAAGGAACTTTATATGTGTATTTTCGGACTGGCTTTTCTGGTTCCTATGGTCTCTTCCTTTTATTTTTGTTTTATACACAGAACACTTTTTTATGATATGAGACGCAATTTAGTTCATCCAAATTATTTCGAGGACTATACTAAATCTCACTCTTATCAACAAGGCAGCGGTCCATAATGATCGTACCGCACTGCCCTACCCTCACACAACCCTGGTTTGTGCAAGACTGACTGGCCGAGATGAAAGCCAACCAACCTCAACAGTGCGGGCAGTTAGGGTATCAACTGCTGTCATGCGGATATTCTGCCAGATCGTCTGCTCAGGACGCCGTGACATCACGTTTTCAGGGAAACGGAAATTTTGTTTTGTATATTTCTTAGACGGAGTGATGTATCTGAATTGTTTATTGGTTTATGAAGAGGATTTTTAGTGATTTTGTTCACCGTGGGCATTGAGGGGAAACTTAACACACAAAGAAAATAATAACCTTTAGGTTTTTGGAAATTCAGTGTATGATTATTTTCAATAATTATAATGAATATTCAATGATAGATGAATGATACAGTGATTTATTAATAATTCATAAAATATGTAAATGCATAAACCCCTTAAATACATGTCAGCAGCTCCATTGAAAAATCTTTCCATAGCGACAGAATTCGTAATAATCAAATAATGATTAACGCTGTGCAGGACAAAAAGAAGAAAAAAAAGTATAAACTGATAAAGATGATAAGGCAACTTTCCCGAACCATCTCAAAATGCTAAATCGGAATCTAAGAGGATGCCATGCATTGTCTACAAAGTTCTTAATCTTCTTTATTGGCAGCGATAAACAAAATAGGAGAAAATAAATGACGAAGCGCTGACTAGACTGACCTCCCTGATGAGATTTAGATACTGACTTTCTTTAATGTCATAGGACCCCCACCCCCCACCCCCAAAAAGAAGCAAAAAAAAAAAAAAAAAAAAGCAACGATTCCTTCAGTCCCATCCTGAAATACAGCTTCAGAGAGGTATTATGTTTGACGGCAAGAGAATTACAACTTTGGCAATGCCCTTAAATGCGTCACTAATGCAGTTTAGAGGCATTTCAAAGGGGGAATACTACCCAAATATGAATGTGTTCTGTCAAGCGTGTTTTCCGACGGTGTGGATATATTTTACACGGGTTTAATGGCCTCCTTGTTTCCTTTATACCACGTGCAAGCAACAATGTCCCCCACTGCAGTGCCTCTTGATTCATCCTCTTTGCCTCTGCCTTAAACTGCAGTTGCGATCCGTCAGAATCCTCCCCGAGGTTTTCCCCAGGCTGTGACCTAGCACAGGTGGCTGGCTCCGTGAACCTGAGGTCTTAGTGCCTGTGCCCCTTGCCTAACCTCCTAAACTCCGCTTAGACCACGTTAGCCCTTCCCTCGAGCCCGCTTTATAGTTTTATAGAAGCTTTGACAAGGGATGGCAGCAGAAGCCTCCATACAGAGTAGCCTAGCATGCCTGTCCCCACCGCCCCGGAATGAGCAGATGGATAGAGGTACTGCCTCTTTGTCCTGGGATAGTGTGTCATTTGAACTTGTAACGTGTGTGTGTATGTGCATATATATATATATATATATATATATATATATATATATATATATATATATATATATATATATATATATAGTGTGTGTGTGTGTGTGTGTGCATATGTATATATATATATATATATATATATATATATTATATATATATATATATATATATATATGTATATATAATAATGTGTGTGTGTGTGTGTGTGTGTGTGTGTGTGTGTGTGTGTGTGTGTGTGTGTGTGTGTGTGTGTGTGTGTGTGTGCTCATATAAAACTTATAAATAAACACATGTATATGAATATATGTAAATATGTATTTGTATAAATATTTATAGGTATGTATCTATATATATTTATATATATCATACATATATGCATTCATTTATGATATATGTATATAATCATATACATACATGGTACATGATACATCTAGCAACCCTCACAGAAAGAAATGTGTTACAAAAGGAGAGAAGTAGGGAAGGTCTGTATGCGAGGTATAAACATATAAAGAAATTAATTTAATTACATGTATGTCCATTTGGGAGGTACGGTAAACCTATTTGAATAATTTTGTATTATGTTATTATAACAGAAGAGATGAACATGCCGTTTCTTATTTTCTAACTACTTAAATTGTGAAGACATGCGGCTTCGGAGAAACATGGGTTATATTTTGGCGAATTTTGCAATGTTTCGTATAAACTCTTCTTAAAACGTCCTTGAATTAGCGGTTATCAGGAAACATTTAATTTCAGTTTTAAAAATATTAACATCATCATCATTATTCCATTTATTGTATTTAGGCTTTTAGTCGGGACCAAAATCGTAGAGATATTATTCATATTAGTTCTATTACATGAAGAAAAAAACTGCAGTAGATGGTTTGGTCTGCATAAGTCCAGGCAGGAAACTATGGCGCTCGAGATAAGATTTTTATTAGAAAATTATTTTGCAAAATATATAGAATGATTGGAAAATCACAAGTACGGGATCAAGACGTATTATCATAAACAATGCGCGCTTTTCATGTACAGTGATAATAGAAATGGTTGCCTTTCTCAAGACACTGCAGGGAAATGACAGAAGCTAATCAGTGGACAATACAGTGGGATAGTACATCATTCCTGCGTATATTCAGGAATTGGGGTGGCTACCGTGTCTTAAGTATTTTCCTCAAATTATGTTTAGTAATTCTCCCAAACATAAAGAAAGAAAGAAGAAACAACAATAGGGATGCTTCACAATGATTGCAGAGGTTGAATAAATACAAAAAAAAGTATGTTTTCTAAAAGTGTATAGAGATATTACAAGCATATAGACAAGCTGAATTTCACAGGACCAAAATATTACCTTTTATTTATTTTTGATACTTTAGAACTAGTGTTCTTGTATCTGTTGATTAATCCAGTTTTTTTATGAGTTTATTGTTATATTCACAAGAATTACACATTCATCTGCCCTTTCCTATGTTTACCTCCGTAAAATGTAAAGTCATTGATTTCTTGATTATGACTAACTATTTTCCTTATTTCACGTCATAAATTTCTCTTGTCACGCTTTTGTAAACCAGAATTCTAAACATGTTAGGGTAAATCCAACGTTTCATCTACCTGTAATCACACTCTTTATCAGATAACGTACTCAAACAGGTAAAAATAACTGGCTTCCACAAAGACACCTGGTTGTCCTTATTTGTAACTAGGGGGTTATGTATTGACAAGTGTAAAAATTATCACCAACTGTCGCATTCTTAAAACATCAGGGAATGTCATAAATGAAACAAAATTTAGGTACCTATTTTATTTCTATTTCAGTCATACAATCGGTTAAGTAATTTTAATGCTAAAATTATAAAAACAGCATACATTTGGATTTCTGACACAGGCAATAACGTATTATGATTAAGGTAATTCTTTATAACAAACTCTAATAACATGAAATAAAAAAGTTACACATATTTATAAAATACTGATAACACCAATAATTAAATATGCATGTTTTCCAGGTACCTCATGAATAAAATGATACTGATATGCAAAGTGAAACAAAAATGCTGGGCAAAGGAAAGACACAAAGAAAGAAAAACAGGAAGGAAAAAAAAATCATATGCAAAGACTAAGAATTTCCTAGAAGTTCCTGATGCAGGAAGTGTCTGTGAACAAAAGGGCTTGTTATGGTACAAGGTCAGAAGCCTGAACAGATTAAGTCAAAATTACAAATCCTGATACAGGGCAAGGTTTAACATGGATACATATCATAACATAACTGTGTATGGTATATGGTAATACACCAACATACAAAGGAAAGAAATGTTAAATCTCGTCTTTTATGGCATTTATACCATCAGCTACAAAATCAAAGGGTACCAGACTTGAATGAAAATTTATTATATATATATATATATATATATATATTATATATATATATATATATATATATACATATACATATATATATATATATATATACATATACATATATATATACATATACATATATATATATATATACATATACATATATATATATACATATACATATATATATATACATATATATATAATTATATTATATACATATATATATATATATATACATATATATATATATATATATATATATATACATATATACATATATATATATATATACATATATATATATATATATACATATATACATACATATATATATACATACATATATATACATATATATACATATATATATATATATACATATATATACATATATACATATATATATACATATATACATATATATATATACATATATACATATATATATATATATACATGTATATGTATATATACATATATACATATATACGTGTATATACATATATACGTGTATACACATACATATATACGTGTATACACATACATATATACGTGTATACACATACATATATACGTGTATACACATACATATATACGTGTATATGTGTATACATACATATATATGTATACATACATATATACATGTATACACATACATATATACATGTATACATACATATATACATGTATACATACATATATACATGTATACACATACATACATACATGTATACACATACATACATACATGTATACACATACATACATACATGTATACATGCATACATGTATACGCATACATACGTACATGTATACGCATACATACGTGCATGTATACGCATACATACGTGCATGTATACGCATACATACGTGCATGTATACGCATACATGTGCAGTATAATACGCATACATACGTGCATGTATAATACATTACATACGGCGCATACATACGTGCATGTATATACATACGCATACATGTATATATATACAACATATATATACATATGTATAATACATATTGTATATACATATCATATATATATATATATATTATATATATATATATATATATATATATATATATATAGTATATATATATATATATATATATACATATATATATATATTATATATAATATGTATATATATATTATATATGTATATATATATATGTATATATATATATATATATATGTATATATATATATATATATATATATATAATAATATATATTAATATATATGTATATATATATGTATA